TAGATAACAAATTAAAGACGTTCTCTAAATAAATGTACTTAATTTAATACAGTGTTTTTGAGTATAATTTCATAAGCGCAGTGCTGGCCATAAAAAACTGGCCATAAAATTTAACAGATTTTATTATTCCGAAACAGTCAAGGCTTTCGAGTTAAGTCACTTCTCGCGTTAAAGGTTTAGAATTCTAAATGCTTATGCACTAAAATGGTGCATCATAGTTTATTTAAATGTCCCGACTTTAATAAAATGAGCACGCAACAGAGTTTTAAATGTGTAAAGGAAAATAATGCGTCTGTAAATTGCATGAATTTGAAACATAGGGTTTCGAATTGTTCTTCTAAGATGCCATGTATGTAAGATGAAACATCACACTATGCTTCATTTCAAGTGCGAAAATATAAGTACCGATAGGCAACCGGCAAGCGCTCTGTTACGGGGCGGTCAGGAATGGCTTTTTAAAAAAACTTATTTTATTTTAACACTTCATTTATTACACTATTTTTAGAACAATATGTTATCCGACGGGAGTCCAATCCAAAACTGATTTTATTAAATATTATTATTGCGTTCAAGGCTCGGTTTCCTATTGCATGATGACACTACGATAGGGGACGTCTATGTTGCGTTTTCATTTTAATAGGAACTAATAGAAATTATATTATAACAGCTCCTCAATTCCATTGTTACCGCCGGGCTGTCCGGCTTCTGCGGTGTCTACTCCGTCTACACCTACCGCGCCCTCTCTTTCTCACGCATAAACATGTCGTTCTAACGTTGCGTTGTGTGCTACTACAACCACCTGAACATCTATAGATAACTCGTTTGTTATAACTACGAGCCCCGAGCGTGCGTATTATAAACAAACTACTACAAGTCGCCGTTTAAGATATTAACAGTGGTCTCCATATTATTGGACCACTTTTAGACTGACACAGAGCCAATTCATCACTAAGGAGTGCTGGGATCTGTTAGGGATTCCACTTCAGGAAGCCGAGCGTAGGACTGTAAAGGGGTTTGGTGACTCGGAATAAGTGATTAAAACTAATTAAATTAATATAACATTTTATTCGCGTTTTAATATTAGGGGTTAAAGTATGAAATTGTCGTTTTATTGTAATAGGTTCCTTGATTTGACATTGAGTCTTCATGGTTTGAGGTTTTCGAAAGAAATTTTTTCACATAGTTTATGTGATGTTCTTCTTTTAAAAAATGTGAAACATTTAATATCCACTTTCAATTGTTTTTGTTATTCAACTTAAACAAAAAAGATTGAGAAAATTCGAGTGATTTTTGAATACGAGTTCCGACGCCGAAGTAACGCAGCAGAAGCAGCCCACAATATCACTGTTGCGTTTGGATAGGGGTCTGCTAATGAACGCACCGTGCAATTTTGGTTTAAACACTTTCGTGATGGAAACTTCCACTTGAAGAACGAGCCAAGATGAAGACCGCTCATACAGGTGAATAACGATGAATTAAGAGAGATTGTAGAAACCGATCTTAGTTAAAAAGGTAAAATCAATAGCAACGCCGATGCTCTATCACGATATCCTGTCAATCCTATCCTACCTTAAGATGATAATCCTATAGGATCCAACGAAAGTCCAAACTCATTCCCAAACAAATCCTAACGGATCAAGGCACCAATTTTACCGCAGATCTATTCAAACGTACCCTTTGTTCCCCTTGAGTCACACCATTTTGTGTGACACTGTTACCCATTGGTAAAAAAACTACCGATTAGTAACACTGTTACTCAATGACACAATATTTTTTCCCTTTGAGTGATAGTGTAACTTAACAAAACGCTATTTTATCGTTAAGTAACACCTTGTGTAAAAACAATGTTCAAATACATCTTGATTTAATACAACGATGATTATCCCACGATACCGAGTAGGTATCTAATAAACGTTTGATCGTAAACTATGGAACATGCACTTAGTGCAATTCGGACAGATTGCTACGATCCCAACGTAACTATCTAACTAAACTATGAATCAGAAATAATGGCGGAACCACAACAATCCAGGCTCAATATTGATAGTCTATATCTGACCAGCCAGAAATCGAATGCATTCCTCACAGAGGAATAAATAGTTTTAATTGCACAGCTTCAATGTTACAGAATAGATACAAAATATATAATTCAGTGGGTATGTAAATTTTGTAGGTAACGTCAAAATATCTTTTTTAACTACCTACCCTCTCTATCTGACACATTTGTTTGAAAACAGGTACTGATTATGTTAATACGCGTCCACCATGTCGGGCATTGCTAATAGTAGTTCATGTAGTAATAATGAGTTTGTATATATTAAAAGAAAAGGAGGAAATATTCTTTTACGTGCTGGTCATCAATACTATGTCAGAAGAAAACATTGTTAAAAAGTGCATTATTATTTACAAAATGACGAAGTAAGTGGGTACTTACTTTTATTCTTATAAGGCCTTTGCATATCTTTCGTTTTATGCACGTCCACTCCATCAAACCACTTTTATGTTTTCGTCATCCCTGTTGATGTAGCTCAAAAAACATATAGAAACTATTCATGACGTATTTAGCATCATTCGGTAACAATGTCGTGAAAATGACCAAATAGATCGCGAACAATGTCATAACCTCTTACAACCTTTAGAAACCTCTTAGAACCTCTATATAAATATCACATGAGATTTCAAATCTATCTCTCATATAATGTCCAATAGTATTCTCGAGTATATCTTATTTCGGAGGAATAGGCGTCGCGTTTAAACACATATTTGGTACATTAGACGAGGACCACGCTCAAAATTATGAAAATGCTATTCAAGCCCTTTACAAGAATAACGAAAAGTTAGCACCTCAATAAAAAAAAGCCATAATGGTATCGTAATCTGCTATTTCTAATATAACCTAATATGAAGCGAAACTATCCGATGTCATAGTCAGTTTATCGATGTCATAGTAATTAGTTTTAATAATATTTAAAATGTCTTGCATAAAATAATATTTAAAAGATCGAAGATCTTTGAATTCTATTTTATTTGTTAAAAGTAATACGTTACACCTTTCTATTCTAACTCCAAGTCAAATGTATAATGATCTTGTAAGCAATTTAAATATTTTACCTAAATATAAGGATTTTCCAGTTAATTTAGATATAAGTAATATTCACATTGTAAGCGACGCGAATATTGAAATGTATTTTTTTTTTAAATAATAGCATAGAGGATTGTTAGCACGAGTCGAATGACGTCTCAGGTGTTTTTTCTTTTTGTTTTTAGTTTGTCATACTCTTTTTCAAAAGTCATTAATTTTTTTCCCTTCAAAAAAACTACGTCGTTTTCTTTTGTATTTCGGACTTTTATTTTTTACTGCGAGCCCTCGTCGTCTACACACATGTTAATTAACACAGCGGACTCAACTATTATATAAGTAATAGATTAATGTTTATTGTCAAACTTCCATTAGTAAATTTACAACAGTATAATATATATAAGAATATACCTCTGCCAACTCCACATATAAACGGAAAATTAAACTCATTCGCTTTTATAACTCCCACGGAACAATTTTTAGCAATTTCAAAAGATAAATTGTCATACACTTACCTTAAAGACTTAAATAATTGTAAAATATACTTATCAAAACTTTGTCAAACAACTAACATTTACGCCGTCCTAAATAATCCTTCTTGTGAAATTGAAATTATAACGAAAGCCTTAACTTCTATTCCTGAAATGTGGACATTTGGCATAGGTTAAATAACAATAAATTGATTTTTGTTCAATCAAACCCCACTAAATTATCCATTGAGTGTAATGACATAGTCTATGAGAATGTAATATCTGGTACAGTTGTACTTAATATTCCAACAAAGTGTGTAGCATTCTATAAAAACATTAAGTTTGTAACCAAAGATTACCCAAAGTTAAATATCCCTATCAATTTTCACCGTTTTAAGGAAATTAGCCCTAAAATTCCTGTTTTTAAAATAAAAAGTGTTAATTTAGATAGTTTGAATGATTGTAAAACAGTTACCGATCAAATTTCCCAAGATTAGTTTTAGAAAAGCCATGTATAAATAATCGTCGCTTTAAATGTTTTCAATATTTTTAGTATTATTATAGTTATTTGTATTATTTTCTATTTCTGTATTAAATGAAAATTGTGTAAACGCCTCAGTAGAAACCCTGTAGTTACCACATCTATAAAGGAAAACCCAGATAACCCTGTCGTATATTCTGCTCCTCGATTACGGGTACAATAATCACGGAAACTCTGCTGATATTACTTAATTTATATATTGCTCCAAATTAATTAATTACACACCCTCTGTGGCTGGCTTCACGTGAGCTTCATTGAATCTGTCTCAATGGCCTCTTAAAACCTAAGAGCCTAGACAGTCAGTCTATTGCAGACATACCTGAACATACTTGAACACGAGCTCTCTTCTCGTATCTCCTCTTGGAGACAACTCCTACGTATAATTGTGTAGGTACGTATGTAGATTTGTTAACTTATTACTCCGACGCAACAGTGTTGCTATGACTGCTGCCGATCTTCATTATGGAGTAAATGAAATAACTCGCGCGCGCGCTTAGCAGTAGGCTCGATGGAGGATGGAATATCCTCATAGCTTGCAGGTTAGGCAGAAGTGGAATACGTCTTCCACTCCAGTCACTCCAGGTATGGTAGTGATCATAGTAAATGATAATGCGTCGTTTCTAGCCTGGTCATTAGCTATTATAGAACAGGTTCATCCCTCCAAGGATGGCATCGTATCGTGCAGGTATTGTCAGTACCGTCAAGGGAACTTATCTCCACCCAGTTGCCCGTCTATGCCTTCTACCGAGGCGTAATACATATTTAAGTAGTAAAATGAAACAAAATATCGTCATAACATCGCTGAGATATCGTATCCTATGGATATAATGGCGAGGGAGGTGCTCGGTAATAATATATTGGAGTGATAAATCAAACATGAATTTATTATCTTACAGTTTTTATTTTCTTTCAACCAAACCAATCCCAAAGTATTACATTAAATTGGCACCAATTGTTACAAATAAATAATCTATATATATAAAAATGAATCGCAAAATGTGTTGGTAAGCGCATAACTCAACAACGCCTCGACCAATTTGGCCAAATCTTTTTTTAAAATGTTCGTTGAAGTTCAAGGATGGTTTTTACGGCGAGAAAAATTAGAATTATTGCTGGAAAAACCCTAAAAATAGCCCTTTTCTTTTTCCCATACAAATGATTTGTAACTAAAACGTAGTCAATTTGAGCTTTATTGCTATGGTATAAAGTTCATATTAAATTACAAGCACTCACTGTTGTCTAAGCAATGTAGGTGTGTTCCTAACGTCAAAGATCATATCTATCAAAACAATGTGCGTGTGTGCGTTGGAGCACAGAATACATAGTTGGAGGAGTTTAATGTCGCGTTCCGAAACTCGCGTTTCTTTTGTATTAGTTTCGGCACGCGAGATAAAATGCATCAGTTTCCACGTCATTACATGTATTGCCGGAACATTGATGAAAATACGCTCTGTAGTAGCAAAGCTGTTGGGTCCTAGATAGCTCATTGGTTAGAGCAGTCCCTGGATCGCGAATGGGTTCGAGTCCCATTCCGGGGTACAGGTAGATGGATTCTTCCAGCATTTTTCCTTGAGAATGTTTATATATTTTTTTAATTTGAATAGTTTACTTTTATAATGCTGTTGTGTGTAATGTGTTTTTATGATCATAAAAATCTCTTTTTTCTATATTTAATACTATTACTATTAATACATTGCAATAATAATTATGATTCACATGATTAACAATAAAGCGATTACTTACTTTTAAATCCTTATATATGTTTTATTTAATTATTTTTTATTCACAACGCCCTATCACCAGGGTGACGGTTCTGTTCAGGAGAATTTTTTTAAATACGTAGGCAAAAAACTGCCACATTACAAATCTTTTTGACAGGACGAAGTCTGTCGGGTCAGCTAGTAATAAATACATTAAAAATTATCTCAACATGTTACCTGTTCTAATACAGTCTTAATTCGTTACTTTAAAATATTAAGGTTATTTTTCACTGAGCAGAATAGGAACAAAAATTTCAATCATCATGTTAACCGTAAGTCGTAAGGAAATTCTTATGAAATTGTAACGAGTAGTAGTTTTCCATTAATTTATAAGGGAATTGTAATGAATCTCAAATTTGTAATTGATTGTAACTATGCTTTTCTTAGTCTTCAGTAACCTTGAGTAATCAATCATATTTGACTTTTTTCATTCAGTACAACATTTGTTGGAAAGAACAGTCTTGTCAACATAATGATCTATCTAGCAAGCTGAGCTTAAAACACCTATTTAGTCTCTTCTGGTAACGAGAAGGTTTCGCCCATAACTACGTAATTGTTCAATTTTTGAGGAATATTACCAACTGCAATCACTGGTATGTGAAAAAAAATCAAAAGCTTTTCTGTCGCTTTTCTAACAAGTAAACGCTTTGCGGGAACTGTATTTAGCCTTATTACTTGAAGAGAACTTGTTATTTAGCGTCGCATGTTGTAACTATTGCCAAGCCAATTACCTCTTTATTGCAGTAAAATGTTGAGTTAGTATATAATATGTATTTTATATATCACTTTCTTCGCGAAACTATCACAAAAATAACATTACAAGTATTATTGACTACGACAATTAATCGAAACTGAAACACCATTTTTTGGTCACATCGACCCTACAATAGATTTATAAAACAACAACTACAAAGTTAAGGTATAAATTAATAATCTCTTAATTTATAATTTAATGCACTAATACCTAAAAACTAATTTAGTAGGAATTTATATAAAAAATACATTATGCACCTATTAAATGTGTTGGTAATTTTAATTTGTTATTACGGTGGTGGTAGACGGTGGTATCCTCCTTTCTAAAGCTATCTGGTAGCCGTCAACGTCTTTCATCATAACATCTAATTTAACTCTAATTTTGGGCACATCACTATTCTCTGGGTCAGGAACTACTACGAATTTTCTTAGGATCGATGATAGAGCGGTCTTGATAGACATCAAAGCGTATTGGTAACCTGCAAAAAGAATATAAATTATTATTACGCGACTAAATTATGATGACCTAACCTGAGGGTTAATTGTCAAATTTTGAAATTTATCGCAATTCGTTTCAATTTGATCATTATCTGAAAGATATTAATGAACTTATGCTACAACTATTTGACATGTGATGGTGATTGCGATCGCTACGTTTTTTTCGGTAATATGACGATATTTGAATTTGTGTAAGGCATGCGTTAGACGCACATATTACTACTACCCGTGGTGTGCAGCTCGTGTTATCATGAAACACAGTACACGCATTTTGGTTGTTTTGCTCATAAATTTGGTTTGGGGTAGTATTTCTTTGTAAAATTTGTCTATGGGCTAGCTGAACGTACAAGGACTGTAACCAAATAACAATCAAAACACTTTCAGAGGTAAAAAGTAATGTTATCGTTAATTGAATTTTATCGAGTGGAAAAAAGAGATCGAATGGCCGACTGGATTTATTGTTATTTTGATAAAATATAGCAAAACTGCGTGCTTTTTGTTGAGTTAAAGTTATTGCGTGCAGTATTTATGTTTTTTAACCTACTTCAAATAAATGGAGGAGGTTATCAATTCGACTGTAATTTTTTTTGTTTGTTACCTCATAACATTTTACTGGATGAACCGAATTTGATGATTATTTCTTTATTTAAAAGCTAGTGCTTGCCGCGTGGTAGTTTCCAGGGTGGGCGGTTAGTATTTAATTAACTACAGAAAACCTCAGTCCGACTTAAAAACATTAACCGCTTTTAACATAGTATTATTTTTCACTTTTTTAAATTTGAAGTCGATTCCATTTTTTTTAATAAAAAGTTTTTTATCATCAATCATTCCCTAAGCGATTGCGACAATTGCTATATATTATAAAGGGATATCTTGCGATGAATTTTTATAAAAGCATTCATTTCTAACGAACGCAAGAATATAACAACAATCAAGTGTAATATGAATGGCGGACGTATGACTTAGCTGTTCATTTAATTAAGATAATTACAATTATAAGGAATTCCACTGCAACAATCTATTTATTTAAAAGTAATTGTAAAAAACACAAGATATTGTACATGAGAAGCGTACTACGTAAATTATTAAATTTAATTGAATTAGCTGAAGCAATTAGCATTTGTGAGTTTACTTAAAATGTTTCTCATTATTATTCAGGATTTCATTTGTTCAAGAAAAATGAATGCAAGAAAAGTATCTAGTGCTATTTTGAAAAGTTTTGTTAAATGGTCAGAGCCCTTATAATTTTGGGAGCTACTGCTCTACTGACGCGCAGGGTCAGAGGCCATGTCATTTAACTGTCTATATTCTAGTAGATTTAATTATGGCTGTATGATTATTGGATCATTATCATCAGCCCTTTTACGTACCCACTAAAGGGGCTCAGGCCTTTATGAATGGTTAAGGAGGGTGGGCCATGATCATCCACTCTGGCCCAAATGCGGATTGGAGGGCACTAACGACTGCAAATACAGCCGGGACCAACGGCTTAATGTGTCTTCTGAAGCAAGAAGTAGCTCGAGATAATAATGTTCACCCATCCCGTGACCGACCCTTATAAAAGTTGCTTAACAACAAAGATCGCGTGTCGTGGCGCTTATGCACTACGCCACCGAGTAACTGGATATTAGATAGAAATTAATTTATTTAACTGAAGTTTTAAACATAAGAATTATATTATACATTTGGGATACCAATGTAAATGTCATTACATTTACATTGGTAGGTCGCATGCGGGATGTAAGAGATTTTTGTAACTCAATTTCATCGGTCAACATGTGGGTCCTATCAGCGAATGTAAATAATCAGTTATTAATTAGTGTGCGAATAACAGCTTTAGGTTGAATTACCGAGACAGTTTCTAGGTCCTTGACTGAACGGCATGTAACTGCACACATGTTTCAGGTTGAGTCTCTCCGGCGAGAATCGGTCGGGGTCGAAGTTCTCGGCATCCGGTCCCCAGTAATTTGGATCCCGATGAATGCCCCATATAGAGATTATCAGGCCAGAACCCGCTGGCAACACTTTACCAGACGCTGCAATGAAAAACGACAATTATAATCCATTATTAGTCAGTTATATTCAAAGGGACCGAGTCAATTTTTTTAAAATAATTTGGTTTTTCTGCAATTTCGAGACTATATTCGTATATCATCATCACCAGCCTATTTCATTATTATCTAAACTATTGTAATAGGCACACACACTGTTATCTAAGCTATTTCTTGTTAAATTGAGTAAAAAAAATACATTAATATTTTTCTATTATCTGACTATCATATAATTTATAATTATAATTAGAATCCATTGTTTGTTTCGATAGCTTGATGAACTTTTATTTGTACTTTAAATAAAAAGCCAAAAGAACTTGTACTGGAACTATATTTATAAAGAAGACATATTTTTAATAACAAGTTGATTGCCATGGTAGCAACCCTACACCTTTTTAATACATTCTTTTTAAGGAGTCTAGAAAAGAGGTTGACTCACTATAATGATAGGTTATAACGTGAATATGCGGTATATTCCATTCTGAAATATCCCAAGAACGATATTTCAGAAATCGTCCTTTAGAAAAACAATGCTAAATAACAAAAACAGGAAAGAACTTAATATCTAGGTACAGTTTTAGAACTAGAATAACAAATAAAAACCTAATTATAATAAAAGAATTAGAACAACCAATGACATAAAATTATAAATATAAAAGAAAAACAAATTCTTCTTTTTATTTACTTATAAAATTTTAATAATTTATGATCTATTTACAAATAATTTTTATGAATTGGTAAAATACATAATTTGGAAGTAGGACGTTTTAGTAATGTCCTTTAACGCGTAAAATCTATATATTGTTTTGACCAGGATGTTTTTCACGAACTCGACCGACTCGAAGAAGTAACCAACGACTTGGTGGCAAATCATTTTCTTTTATTAAAACGACATCTCCTACTTCCGGCTCTGGTACTTGGTGAGACCATTTATACCTATGCAAAAGAGTAGCTAAGTACTCTTGGGACCAACGCCGACAAAAGTTTTGTAACATCTTTTGCACAAGTTGCCATCTATGCAAAGGACTAATGTGAGAATTTTCGTAATTAACCTCCGGTGCAGCGATTTATGGTTCACCCACTATAAAATGTCCTGGTGTCAATGGTAAGGGTTCGTCTGAATCATCAATGTTAATTATTGTCACAGGTCGAGAATTGAGACAAGCTTCGACTTGACAAAGCAATGTACTCATTTCTTCGTATGTCAGTGTTGACTCACCTAAAACGCGCTTAATTAGGACCAAAATTAGGAGCATGCGGCGGTATAAAGTACCACACAGTATTATTAGATTCCAAATACTCGGCGATACTTGATTGTGTCTTAGACAATTCCGATATTTCTCGTGCGGCACCAACGACATTGGAGCCGTTGTCGCTTCATAAATGAGCGCAGTGTCCACGTTTAGAAACAAAACGTCGGAATACAGCAATAAATGACTGGGTACTCAAGTCACTTGCAATTTCAAGATGTATGGCGCGAGTTGCCATACAAATAAAAATACAAATATATCCTTTATATGCACGATGCCCTCTGCCTTTTGTTGTTCTTAAATTTATTGAACCCACGTAATGTACCCCGCTGTTGGAAAACGGTCTAGAAGGAGTACATCATACTGACGGAAGCGCACCCATTAATTGATTTTGTGTTCTGGCGTTATATCTAGTACATATGATACATTTTTAACAACATTTTTAACATTGACAATCCAATATTTAGATCATAGACAATTAAGCATGAGTTGAGGCCCCCCATGTAGGGTCCGTTCATGAGCATCGGCTACTATTAAGTATGTAAGATGTGCGTTAGGTGATAAGATTATTGCATGTTTTGTTTGAGTTGGAAGAGATGATGCATGTAATCTTCCACCCACTCGCATTATATCTTCATCATCAATAAAGGGACCTAATGATTTTAATTTACTTCCTTTAGCAGTTATACATGAACCTTTCTTTAATTGAGCATATTCTTTTTAGAACTCTCTTTTCTTACAATATCTGATACAACAATTTAAAGCTTCATTTAGTTCTATCTCCTTTAAGTACTTTGTGAACTTTGTCTCTTCTCTTCTTCCAATGTATGTAGCGTCTGCAATATGCTATATCTCTTAGTAACTTTCTAAGTGACGAATATTTTGAGTATAAAGGTTCGTCTGCAGCTAACGTCCCGTAACACTTGATTACTTCTTCCAAATGTGTGTAAAGATTATTAAGTCTCTTATAAGTGATATTTGATTGATTCAAAAATTCTGGTCCTTTTAACCAGAATGTATTCTCAGCAAGTAATTTTGATTGAACTCCTCGTGATGCGCAATCTGCTGGATTTTCCTCGGAAGGTATATGGGCTCACTGATCCGCATCTAGACAAGTTAAATTTCTGACACCCGATTGGCGACAAAGGTTTTCCATCTACTTGGATGGCTATTAAACCAATCTAACACAACCATTGAATCAGACCAAGCGTGAACTCGGCTCTTCGGAACTTGCATCGTCTCCATCACTTCAACTAGCATCCGAGAAAGGAGTAAAGCACCACATAATTCTAGTCTCGGTGTGCTAATTTGTTTGATTGGTGCAACCTTTGTCTTTACAATTATTAAATATATATTAATTTGACCTTCTTTATTAATTGTTCTAACGTAAATACAAGCAGCATACCTCATCTGCCAATTGTATTCCAAGCCACCTCGGAATGATTATATTGGTTGGTTAGATTAATTCACTATGGTAAATATTCCACTCATCTTTTAGATGTGTTGGTAATTCCTCATCCCATCCAACACCAGATAACCACAGTTTCTGTATGAATATCTTAGCTAACACTATACTAGGAGTTATCCAACCGAGAAGATCACATAACCGTGCTATTTCTGATATGACAGTTTTCTTAGTTTCAGGCCCTAGATCCTGTTTAACTTGTACCGAATATTTAAAGACATCTTCTCTTCGAGACCAAGTACTTAAGTAAGAAACATAATTTGTAATTTTCAGCACAAAACTCACATTTAAGATGATTGATGTTTGTACTATGATTTGCGAACATAACCTTATGATTAGATTGTTGTTTTTGTGAAATATCGTGGTGACTGGCAAATCTTTTAAGTTCAATGAATTCTAGGGCTCTAAATCGACTTTCAAGAAAGCTCTTAAATTGACTTTACGTTGGTAAATCCACTGAGTTATCTACTAGCAACTTATATTTCGCATTGTTTACGTGTTTCTGGGTCGAGTTTGTATGTGACTATTTCAATTATTATTACATCCCACTCACATCAATATTAATTTTTTTTAAAGCATTAATACAATCAGTAGTAGTATCTAAAATTTCCTTTGTGGAGCCGGCTGACTCAATATGTACACGTTTTTGTCCAATAAATCTTTTTAATATAAAATTAGCTAAGTACTTTTATTATTATATCTATTTTCTAGTTGTTCCCAACATTGCTTATAATTACCGTCTGTTGTAGGTATATATCGTATTAACTGTTCAGCTTAACCTGTAAGATGCCCCTTTAAATAATGCATTTTATGTACATTGTCAAGCGAATCGTTTTTCTTAACTAAAGATATAAATAAGTGTCGGAACGTACTCCATTCGAAATATTTTTTCCGAAAAAGTAGGTATTGCAATTTGTAGTAATCTTACAATTGAAGGAATAGGATTATCATTGCTTTCAACCTTTTTAATAACTGAACTTGAATCTTTAGGACTTAAACTTTTGTGAGAAGCTTTTTATAATGTTCTATAATCTAAATAAATGTCCTCAACACTGCCATTAACGTCATTTACCATATAGAGTAATGAAGATTATTTGCAATTTGCATTAACTTGTTGTTATTTTCTCTAAATTGAGACCAATCCCTTTCCAAATGTTCTGTTCTAACTTCAACATATTCTAAAGTGATTCTACTTTTTGGTGATTGATTAAAGTTAATTAAACCTCTTTCAATTACCTTTTGAAACGACAGTTGCATCTTAACCAGTGCTTCCATTTTTTTTAATTACAATAATAAATTCAATGAACAAAAAAGAGATCAGTTACCTAACTATTTAAAAAAAACCTAATGAAATGTCCTATATTTTATCGAAATAATAAACATCAATTGAATATTATACAAAATAATTAAATATTTCCAAAATTATTACCCTCGCAGTCCTTCCACTAAATAATTCGAAAGTCTTGTTTATTATATATCCTTTATGTATATGTTCTTCTATTGAAGTAATTAAGTTATAAGTTGCAAATCATCAATAATACACTACTCTACTTACAGTTTATGTACTCTCACAAGCACTTTTATGACGACGCGTTACTATTTTTGCCGTCATCCACCGCAAGGAATTGTTTTTTCGCGTTCGAAGATGTCTCAGGAATCGCGATCGCAGCTTACTAACATACACCCACCAAAAGGCGCTCAAACAACTGGATGACTCGATGATGTCATCAAATCCAAATTTTGCGTTATATTATTTTTTCTGCTTCCCCGGACAGAGAAATGCAACTTTGACATGCAGTACTATCGGCATACCACCATTGCCTGCTAACTTTGACTTACTCGGACAAATTTTGAATCCGTTACTTTTTTTCTACGTACGCGAGTATTACATAACTTTATTGGTCTTAACCGGTTCGCTTTGGACCATTTGTTTGTTTCGATAGCTTGATGAATTTTTATTTGTACTTTAAATAAAAAGCCAAAAGAACGTACTGAAACTATATTTATCAAGAAGACATTTTTAATAACAAGTTGATTGCCATGGTAACAACCCAACACCTTTTTATAATACAATCTTTTTAAGGAGTCCAGAAAAGAGGTTGACACACTATAATGATAGGTTATAACGTGAACATCCATATAATTATATAGAACTTTTTTTTTACCCAGATAATTATATATTGCTTATTATACATAATGAAGAAGTACTTACGCAGTGTAACATTTTCTTCAATTTTCCTTATGATGAAAGGTACAGGAGGGAAGAGCCTCAGCGTCTCCTTTACTACCCTTTCGAGAAATTTCATTTGCAGCAGATCTTCCTTTACCAATTTACGGTCTGAGGTCCCGAAAATGTCGTAGATTCTAAAACAAAATGCAATCGGAATAAAATCAACTACTTTTATTCTATACTAATATTATATAGGGGGAAGATTTACTTGTTTGCATGGCACAGGCTCGGAAACAACCGGACAGTTTTTAAAAATTCTTTAATCAATTACTTATAAACTTATAATTCACGGCTAGTTTTCTATAAATGTAACTCATCTGGTGGTAAACTCTGTGTTCCAGTGTACGAAGCAATAATTTTATTAATAGAATAGAATAGAATACACTTTATTGTACACACACATAACACTTACAATTTTAAATGTAGAAAGGAAACGTACAAATGGCGGCATTATTACTAAAAGTGATCTCTTCCAGGCAACCTTGAGATGGAGATATATTTAAAATGAGCTAATAATAATGGGGTAACGGATGGTGTACATATGTATATACTATTTATAGCTAGAGTTATACTTATGATTTTAATTCTTATGTAGAAAGAAGAACAATAGATATTAAATATTATACATACTTATATACATACAATACATACAAATTTTATGCACAAATAGAGTTGCTTAACGATTTCCTCAATGATATTAGGTCCTTTCTTATGAAATTGGGGTTTTGTCGCACTAGGCACTTTAATCACAAATTTTTCCTCCTTGGTTTGGGAATTCCAAATTCACTCATGTATTTGTGTGTTGTTAGGCTGCTTTCATTTGTTTTTTTTTTCTTTTGTTTGTCCTATTTAAGTCACCCAGTATAAAAAATTTAAAACTTGAAATATCGTGTTATTTACGAGTACGAGCTCCACCGTGGTACCAGTGCTGCGGAATCGACTCGAAGGGTTAATGATGTGTATGGCGATTGTGTCGCAAAAGAAAACACAGTGCGTTTTTGGTTCCAACGTTTTCGTTCTGGAAATTTCGACCTGCAAAACAATCCCCGTGAACGGCCGGAGACACAAGTTATTAATGAAGAATTTGAAGGCTATTGTGGAAGCGGATCCATCGCAAGCCACGTCCGAATTAGCTGCAGGCTGCGGTGTTAGTGATAAAACTGTTTTAATCCACTTGCTACTACAAAAAAGTTACTTGTAAGCGTTTGGTGGATTAGTGCCGATGTCGTTCATTACAGTTTTCTCAAATCTGGCCATACGATTACGGCAGACGACTATTGTCCGCAATTGCAAACCATGCTGGAAAAACTAGCTCTTAAACAACCGAGACTGGTCAATCGCTCTACGCCACAGTGGCGTAGAGCGATTCTTGTCGAGTCGATTCACGACAACGCTAGACCACACACTGCACAAAAGACAGCTACCAAATTAGAAGAGCTTCAATTGGAATGTGTAAAACATCCACGCCCGGACCTCGCTCCAACAGATTAACATTTTTGTCGAAATTTGGATAACTTCTTGCAAGGGAAAAAATCAACTCCAATGGGGCAGGGCAAATCGCCTTCAAAGATTTAATTGATTCCCGTCCGAATGGTTTGTTTAGTAAGGGGATCAATGAACTATCTATGAGATGGCAAAAGTGCATAGATACGAGGGTCAAACTGAAAGTTCTTAGAAAATCAAAAACTGATTACATTAGCCAGTTATTAGTTTTATTATATCTTTTCAAAATATTGTCCATTCACGTCAATACACCGCTGCATGCGATGGAACCACTGGGAAAAGCACTTTGCCCACTCGTCCTTAGGGGTCTCTTCAATGGCATCGCGATACGCAGCCACCGCTTCTTCAGCATTCATAAACCGCTTTCCTTTAAGTTTTTCTTTAATTTTTGGAAATAAATAAAAATCACAAGGCGCGAGGTCGGGGCTATACGGCGGGTGACCCAGTAATTCAACGTTTGATGTCGCCAAATAGTCGATCGTTCGCTTGGCGGTGTGCGACGAGGCGTTGTCGTGGTGAAGGAGGATCCTACTGCGAGGTCGTTTCTCTCGAACTTTTTCCAAGACAAGTGGCAAACAATTGGTAGTGTACCATTCTGCAGAAACTGTTTTTTGATCCTCTAACACAATTGTTGCAAAATGACCTATCCTTCCAAAGAACGAGGCCACCATTTTTTTTCCCGCACTTCGATCTCTCTTCACTTTAGTTGGCAACTCCTCGAAAGGAAACACCCACTGAGCAGATTGTCTTTTGGTTTTAGGATCATAACAGTAAATCCAGCTTTCGTCACCTGTTAGTATGTCGAACACAGCATTTGAGTCACCTCCGTTAAATCTTTCAATCATTTTACGACACCAATCCACACGATGGAGTTTTTGAGCCTCAGTCAAATTATGAGGTATCCACCGGGCGCAAAGCTTCCTCACCGCTAAATGTTCGTGGAGGATTTTGTGCACTTGACTCATACCGATGCCTAAGCTTGTCCGAATCTGTTGATAGGTCACTCTTTTGTCAGTCTCTATCATACGCCGCACAACACAGATGTTATCTTCAGTCGTCGCCGTAGAAGGCCGTCCCTCACGTAAATCATCAGTGAGATTAGTGCGACCACGTTTAAACTCATTAAACCAGTTGTAAACAGTCGCACGAGATGGGGCTTCATCGTGAAAGGCCAATCGTAGTCTATCATAACTTTCTTGTTGACTTAAATGACATCGAAAGTCATAAAAAATCATTGCACGAAAATTTTCTCGTGTTAAATTCATGATGACGTGACACAGACAATTTTCAATTTGCCGCCAAATCGTAAAACAAATGACAAATGAATGAAATATATACTCAGTAATATTGGCAAAGAGTTATATTTTCAAATTTTAGAATTATTTTTTTATTATATTGTTTATAAGTGGCCAGTTCTAAGAACTTTCAGTTTGACCCTCGTAACAATGGGTTATACTTTGATGAAATAAATATATTATATTAGAAAATATTCGACTTTTTGTTCCTCCCATACCAAATTCATATGTAAGGACCTAATATTAATGGACTTAGTTTTAGCTTAGAGAATGTGTGAGCGCAAACAAGTAGGAGTGGGTAAAATATTGCGGAGTCTTCTTAAATACCCAGCAGTGGCAAAAAACTTGCGTCTCACTATTTTGAACGGCACATTCCAAATAACTTTTTGACAAATTGTACGCCCATATTTCTAACCTGAGCACTGAGTTGTAAGTTAATTCCACAAAAAACATTTTGTGGAAGTTGATCATACTTAAGATTTGCGCTAACCCGAGAGCTGCCCATTATAATAACTTGGATTTTGTTGGGATTTATCAGCAATCCATGACTACGGCTCCATTCAGAAATTTGACATAAGTCTTTATTCAGATTACTGATGGCTGAATTAAAATGTTCAACAGTAGCCTGAGAATAAACCTGCAAATCGTCTGCATAGAGATGGTAGGAAGAAACTAATTGACATGAAATAGAATTAATGTATACTGCAAAAAGAAGAGGAGATAACACGTCATCCTGCAGTACCCTAGCAGTGATATTGCACTACGACGAAAATGAATCCTCAACGAGGACCCGCTGCCGGCGATAAGACAGGTTATTTCGAAATCAATCAATCGCTGATGGAGATATGTTAATAGAGCGTAATATATGAATCAAAACATGTTGAAAGCGTTTCTAAAATCACACACAAAATTGTAAGAGTTCCAGTTTCCATTCCTAGTCTTATGTCATCTATTATATTAATAAGGGCAGTTGTGGCGCTGAATGAATGAATTCAGGAAAATACTAAGTTGGTCATTAACAAGGCGCTCAAGGACAATAATTTCGTCTACAACGTCAAATATATTTTAGATTTTTTTTTTAAATAATGTTTATAGGTTCAAACGGATATCGTCTTTTATTAAACTGAAAATAAAAATTTCATGTAATCATTAATGATTTTAGACGTCTTACAAAAGAGTTCCAAACACCTGTAGGTTCATTTTCAAAATTGACGTTAAAACCTCTAAAACAACTAGTTTTCAATTGTAAAAATAGGTGAGATAACATAAGTAAAAATATTATATTATTTAGAAGTATTATTGTTTTCTTTGATGACATATATGTATAGTGTGTATTATATAAACGTGTATTTTAGTTAAGTATATTTATAGTGTAGTGCAACAGAATTGGCACCAATATCAAGTTGTTATAAAAATCCCAGACATGGTATAACATACCTATATATATACAAAAACAAAAAAAAATACAAAAAACCTTACGACATATTCATTATACCTATATTAACCTCAATGATTTTTCCTTACTTCACTCACACATCTCTCTCGTTCATCTCTTCAATTTAATCTCGGAAAAAAAACAGCTTTGAGTCATTGATCTAGACACATTAATATCATTGGCTGTGAGTATTATGTTTGATTAATTTCGCATTTACAGTGCCATATTGAAAAATATTTTTAATGGAAAATGCTTAAAAAATCTACTTTGACCCTAGCACTGTGAGATGGGACTCGAACCCACGACCATTCGCAATCCGAGCGACCGCTCTAACCACTGAGCTATCCAGGACCCAGCTGGACTGACAATTTTTTTAAATACTTGTTACTTTTCGCTACCACAAAGCGTATTTTCATTAATGTTCAGAAAATCCACTGTGTTTAAATTTTCTATACTAATATACATGCGAATGAAGGTCTGTGTATATGCCTATTACGCGCTCGACACTTAACAGGCTTGACTTGAGGACATAGGATATAAGTAGGTTGCTTTTTATTGTGATAAAAGAGTTGGGGGATTAAAATTTGTATGGAAGTCATCATTGTCAGAGATAAAATCATGAAATTTTATATTCAGGTATTTTACACGATATAATGAATAAGTATGTATTTATCCTCCTTAACCATCCATAAGGATCAGGCCTTCCTTATGGATGGTTAAGCCCCGGCAGTGGGAACGTAAAAGGGCTGATGATGATGATGATGTAACTATACCCAGCGGACGAAGTCGCGGACAAAAGCTAGTCTTTTATACATTTATTTTTCAGTCGGAGAAAGAATGTCGAGATAGTAATACGCTCAAAGACAATTCCCTTTTTGTTTTTGTTACTACTATGTTATTGTTTTGGGTCGAGAACCGCTATTTGCCATCTCCTTTTTTCTTCAACGGCTTTAAGAAGATTTATAGCACAGAACTCCTCATTATATCAAAAACAAAACCAGTCAATGATAGTGAAGAGGATAGAAGTGAGTGCGTCTACTATTTTTCTTTTGAAATACGGAACACCAAAATGTAGCAGAATATCAATCACTTATTGACACCCTCCTAATAACAAGTCCGCCATATTGAACTTTATTCTTTCACAAAGAATTAAATAAGTAGCCATCTAGGGACAGCTGCCATATTAAATTTAAAATGATGTAATTAAGTTTAGCATGTGCTGTCGTGTAAAATAAACCATATTCATAATTTTAGCTAAATCCGTAGTATTTAACCGCTTTTCATAATCCAGTTGCAAGAGTTGATGATATACACTAGAAATTAAATTGAAGCTTCTAAATCACCACTTACTCTTCATAAACTCTCTGTTGTACGTCTGGATATTTGGCCAGCATCTTCAAGGTGTAACCTATAGCAACAGCAGACGTGTCCGTTCCAGCTATGATAAGGGTTGTCACTTCGTCTCTCAATTCCGTATCCGTATAACCTTTGTCTGATTTACTTGAAAGATTAATAAGGTGATCGAGAAAAGATTTTTTCTTGTAATCGTCCAGATCTAAAACACACAGAAAATTATAAGAAATATATTTTATTAATCGTATTATTGTTTTGAGGATACCCGATCAATGTGGTTAGCATGTTTGATCTACAATTGCAGAAGTTAAGAAACTTTAGCATATAAATTTATTTTTGTTCATCGGACGGAAAAGTTATATTTGGACGGAAACAAAATTTATTATTAACTTGCTGATTCCAAGGTGTGGCCATCCTGAGATCCCGAATTCGATTCCCAGTCGAGTCAATGAAAAAAAAACACTTCTATATCGAATGGGTACTGTGGTACCTCGTTGGTTTCAGATTCCCATAAGAAAAATGCAATTAATAACTTCATTTTGGATCTGTTTATTATTATTAATTATCCTCAGTGCATTATCCTTAGCGCGTGAAGCCTCCTTGGCTGTATCTGTAGGAGCTTAGCAGTTAGCACCCACAAATTTGCACTGCACCATCATGATAGTATAACTCCCTATGTGAATCTATCCAGATTATTACAGTGGAGACAGAAACTTGAAGATATTGTTCTAGCTAAAATTTTCTGCTTTGAAAACATACAATAATCTAATCTAGTTTAAACATGGAAATTATTTACAGCATCATCGCCATGGGCAACAACTAATATTTTCTTATTCACCGAAAGGACTTCAATTCGAAACGTATACATTAAAAACAAGTTTTGAAAATTTCTTACCGTAAGCAACGTCTACTTCACTTTTGTTTTGTGATTCAATCCTTAATTCATCGCGTTTTTTTCTAATGACCTTCAATTATAATGAAAAATTAATAAAGTTAATGATGAAATTTCAATTCATACGGATGACTACATTTCAAATAAGGCCTAAATTATATTATATAATTTAAAAGAGACGAACTATTAGTTTACAAATATACTTTGAATTTTATTATCTTAAGGAAAATAATTTGATGAAAATACATTTGATGTTATTAATAAACAAGGCTTAGTTTATCCCATATTTTAGCACTTAATATTTGTCAAAATTCACATTAATGAACAGAGATTACACCTTCTAGTGGTAAATATTACTCCCGTATCAACCAGCTATCAATATTAGTCTCTGTTTGATAATGTAAATTTTGAGTAATACTAAGTACAATCTTAGCGTAAATTTACTCTGACACTAAAGCTTGTTTATTGGTAACATTGACTAAGTAAGGACAATTAAAAATACAATATTTTTGTACCTCATCAGTGAAGTCGTGCATTTGCTTCAAACAAGCTTGGTGCTCTGTATATTGTGGGAAGAACTTGTAAATCCAATCGGGTTGAAGCCATAGATGGAATATTCTTCGACATGACAAATGTAGTGCCCGAGTCATTGATAATAAGAACGAGTTTTGAGGGTTACTTTGTGCGTCTACCTTTACTCCCAATGCCGTTTCTATGAAAAACAAAATGAATTTTAGTCGGTAAGACTAGTTAGAAATGCACAAGTAATAAATTAAAAAGAAAAATAATAATTAGAGGCGTTTATTTCATGTCTCGTCTAAGAAATTTTTGAAATGAATTTTTCGCACGATCGCTACATTTCTCGTTTTAGTAAATGGCGTTCCTGAGCGATGAGAAAATGGCTATACCGTACTACCAAATGTAATTCAACCCTAAAGAGTTCTCACGCCTAATTGTAGATGAAAATATTTTAATATTTTTATATAGTAAATTAAGTGTGATTTAATTTATAACTCTTAAAATCTACCGTCTGTACCTATACCGTGGACTACTTTATATAAAATTTTTAGATTGTGATTTTTCAGACATCTCTCTTAAAATCGACATTCAGTATATCATGGACTGTTTCGTTGGTCTACTCTACTTATGGTCTTTTTTAAGGCGACGAGTGGAACGGAGCACTATGAACTTCGCGATATATCGAAAATAGAGTTTAGTAATACGGTTTACTACACTGATATTAAAAGGAAGTAATGTTTCTAACTTTGTTTGTTTGTAGAGAGTAATCTTCGGAAATAGTGATGGGATCATGAAAATTCTTTCACATACCGAAAGTTACTTCACTACGCAGTGGCTTTTATGCGGGCGAAGTCGCGGCTAGGAATTAATAAGTAGGTACTCACGTGAAACTGCATCCAGTGTATAAGTGCTAATAAATGGCCAAGCGCTGAAATTGCCCTTTTTAGTTTGCACGTTGAGTTTGTTTGTCATCATCTCTGTCTGCTCTGCGAATATATCTACGAAGCTCTCAACAATTTTCGGACTGAAGGCTGGTACCAATATTTTCCTACGTCTCCTCCAAATGCTTACTGGGGACAATTAAACATTTTATTATTTTATTGTTAATGTCAATGACTGGACGTTTGTAGTACATAATAGTATATTTGAGGCTCGCTCTTAACTCCGGTCCTTCGATGGTGAAAGCTGATTTGCGCGCTAACTGGGCATGGCGCGTCCTGGGGTATGGGTCAAATGTTCCTGAATCGCACTCCCAATCTACAGAGGGACCCACCCTGCAAGAAGTGGACTGAAATAGGCGAGAACGGCGAGGGAAGTGACTGTCAAAGTTTAACCCCTTTTTAGTTAAACTATCGAATGAACTAATGAACCCTGTAATAATTTTAAGAAATCAATAAATATTCCGTTTAGTTGCAAGACTTTTTTCTCCGTTTGCCATGACCGCATGTATTTTGAAACCCGAAACTAAAAAAAAAGGTTTGATGTCTATATACTATAAGTCGATGTGTTATAATGTCCAAATAAAAAATAAGCGCTGTGTCTTTAACCTTCTATTTTCAAAATGTTAATAAGTCTTCAAAGAAACGCATTTATCGGTAATTTACGATGCAACGAAGGTAGGATCTGACACTGCCTCTGATGCACAGATAATATTCACGGATATATGATTTTAACAAAGAAGTTTGCCGACTTTTCGTTCGAGGACACAGGTCCTCAAGTGTCATGTTAATTCGTAAAAGTTATAAGTTAAGTTTGATAGTACGTTGCAAAACGAAATATATAACACTAAATGGTATTTACCTGGAGCGAAGATACCACCGTTGCCAAAGATATCTTTCACGAATCTGTGCATATCATCTTTCTCCATACATGTTTTCAACGCCATTTCAATATCAACTGGGTCTATGATCACTGTTAAGAAAAATAATAGTGAGATGATGAATTGTGTCTATGAACAACAATCTATACTTAATATTATAATGAGGAAGATTTTGATTGTTTGTTTGCATCGAATAGGCTCCAGAACTACGGGACCGATTTTCAAAATTCTTTCACCTACGGGTAGAGCTTCATCATACGGGGTCGACATAAGCTATAATATACGCGTGCGAAGTTGCGGGAAAATAGCTATCGTTTTATAATTTTAGTTTCATAGGTAAAAGACATTTACAAAAGCGTCATCAGTGACGCTTTTATCAAAAGACAAATCTTAAATGAAACTATTTTATTACACAGTAAATTGGACATTATAAGTGTATAAAATACTCACAGAAATATAATATGTGATTAAGCCATCCTCTGACAATGCCCTGACATTCCATCGCTGCATAACTAAAATCCTTAAGCTTGTTCATTATATCTGAAAAAACAACTTAAATGTATCTAATATTTTTTATCCAATCACTAACACTCGTATCTATAGTCGAGGAGAGTAATTACTTGAGAATATGTCATAACTTAAGCAGATATTTTTACCAAATGAAGAAGAATTGTAATGAAGTAAAAACTGAAGGCCTACTCTGTTTCTACGAAAACGAAATTTCTTTTATTGTCGAAACGCTTATATGACTCAAAAAAAAAAACATTTATCGATCATTTGATGATGCAACGGTTATAGGACATGGCACTGCTTCTGATCCACAGAAAATCTTCACAGATATGATTTGAACAAAATTGTAAGAACGATTCAAAATGCTCCGAAATTTCGTTCGTCGACAAAGAGAGTAGGCCGGCTCTCTGATTATTATTAGCTTGTAACAATTGTTACATTATTCAAAGATTTGATTAAGTTATAACATTTTACTTATCTCGACTATAGATAGATACGAGTGTAAGACTATTTTCTCCTTAAACAAAGATACGATAATCAGATATTAGGGGTTAAAGTATGAAATTGCCGTTTTATTGTAATAGGTTCCTTGAATTGACATAGAATCTTTAAGATTTGAGGTATTCGAAAGAAACTTTTTTTACATGGTTTCTATGATGTTTTTCTTCTAAAATATGTGAAACATTTGAATATCGATTTTCCATTGTTTTTGTTATTAAACTTCGACAAGAAGATGGATACTGCGAACATTCGAGTAATTTTTGAATACGAGTTGTGACGCGACAGTAACGCGGCAGAAACAGCCCGCAATATCAATGTTGCGTTTGGAGAGGGGTCTGCTAATGAACGCACCGTGCGAATTTGGTTTAAACGCTTTCGTGATGGAAACTTCTACTTGAAGAACGAGCCACGGTGAAGACCGCCCACACAGGTGAATAACGATGAATAGAGATGGTGGAAGCAAATCCTAGTCAAACTATCCCGGAATAAGCGGCATGGTTTAACGTTACCTTACCCACAATATTGACTCATTTGCGTCAAATCAATAAAATAAAAAATACGAAAAATGGATGCCTCATGATTTGTCTGATCTGCAGAAAAAAACGCGTGTTGTAACTTGCGTTGCTGTGTTGAATCAGTACAGAAATGAAGGAATATTGGTACGAATTGTGACATGTGAAGAAAAGTGGATTCTTTATGATAACCGTAAAAGAAAACTGCAATGGCTGACCCCAGGTCAAACGCCACAACAGTGTCCTAAAGCAAAACTTACCAATAAAAAGGTAATGGTAAATGTTTGGTGGTCTCAGCATGGTGTTATTCACTATAGTTTTCTCCGATCTGGTCAAGCATTAACGGCATATGTCTATTGTGCCGAACTCCGAACAATTTCGGCAAAACTAGCAGTAAACATGAATCGATCTTCACCATTACTGCTCCAAGACAACGCGAAACCTTATATAGCACGAGAAACCGTTTGACCCTTCAGGAATTGCAGTGAGAAACCATTCGTCTTCCTCCATATTTGCTAGACCTTGCTCCAACGGACTAATATTTTTTTCGTAATTTGGACAATTATCTACGTGACAAGAAGTTTTCTTCCCAGGAGGCAGTACAAAATGCTTTCATACAGTTTGTGCAATCTAGATCCACAGAATTCTATCACAAAGGCATAAATGACCTTCCTATTAGATGGCAGCAATATATAGATAATAATGGTAACTATTTTGATTAAATAAATTTGTTAAACATTAAAAAAATAAACAATTTTGATTTTAAGTACAAATCGGCAATTTCATACTTTAACCCAGCGTTTCTTAACCTCAGGTCGCGACCCAAATCCGGGCCGCGGGCGGTATTGGGATGGGTCACCGGTATTTTGAAAAGACATTGTGATCGACGTGATCGATGTCATTTTTTCTTGATCACGAATGCATGGGGAGGGAGGTGTGGCGGCGAATTGAGCGCGGGCGGCGGCGGCGCGGCCGAGTGCCGACTCAGTGTTCTAGCATGTTTGTTAATGAATGCACGCTCTTTTGTTCCACCATTTTATGCGAATCACACACATCAAACTACCTACGTAAACATATTTGCTACAAACAGTGCTACAAAATTGTGTTTACTGCGATTATAATACGTATTCCTTGTTGTGCTCGAGGAAGGTTTGTATTTAATGTTTTTTGTTTCTAATATGTACATTTAGTAAGTGATAAATTAAATAGGTATCAGGTTGTAGTTAAAATTATAGTTTATAATTTGTCTTTATGTTTAATTCTTCAATGGTAAAATAATGTTTATAGAAAGTAGGTAATAAGTAAAATAGTTTTTTAATCTTCCAGTTGCTAAAATTGAAGAGTACAATTTATGGATTCGTTTCCACCAATGTTTCAGTGATTAAATAATATTGATTTTAAAAAATTGGTAATAAATAGAATAGGTATTTAATATTCCAGATGTTGAAGTAAATTAACGTTTATATTATGTCGTTATGTTTCAGCAAATATTTCAATTGGCGGATCGTGTTTTCTGAAAAACGTTTGGCTAATTCCACCAATCATGACAAACCGGATATTACCATATAAAGAAGAGATATTAGGATTTATTGAAATAAAAGATCGCTCTGGTGTTCCGCGTCCACAATGCGTGGTCTGTATGTAACTTCTTTCCAATGAATCGCTGAAACTCAACAAATTAAAGAGACATCTTGAGAAAGTCCATCCAACTTATGTAAATAAACCGCTTGGCTTGTGGAAAGAAAAAGAAACACAAGCAAAGCGTATGAAACTTGATGCACCATCAAGTTCGGCAACACTTTCGCTAAAAAAAAATACTTCTTTTCAAGTAGCTTTAAAAGTTGCTCAATGTAAAAAACCCCATAGTATTGCTGAAGAGTTGATTAAACCAGCCGCGATAGCCATGGCGAGAACTGTCCGTGGAGATGAAATAGCTAAGAAGTTGGAAATGGTGCCAATTTCAAACGATACCGTAAAAAAGAGAATAGATTTAATGTCATTAGATATTTTAGAACAGTTAATAACAGATCTTAAAACAGCAATAAAATTTTCTATTCAAATCGACGAATCAATAGATATTGAAGACTTTCCACAGTTTTTAGCGTATGTAAGATACAGAACTCCTCAAAATTTTAATAAAAAAATTCTTTTTGTGAATAGCTCTCTGTAACTTCAACTGGAGCTGACAGTTTTTTTCTAGTTGACAACTTTTTTGAGACTCACCAATTGCAGTGGCGAAATTGTATCGCAGTTTATACGGATGGAGCACCAGCAATGGTAGGAACTCGCATAGGTTTTTGTGCCAAAGTCAAGGAAAGAAATCCAAAGGTTGTTACAATACACTGCTTTTTACATAGAAAGAACTTGGCTACACAGGATATGCAGCCAGATCTACACCGGGTATTACAGGACGTCATCAAAATTATACATCTTGAAAATGAAATGGCAAGATATATTCCACAAAATGTCCATATCGAGAAATACAGTTGGGTAAGAAATCCATTTGAAGTAGATGTAATGGCGGTTGAAAATGATACGGCTGGACTACAAGAAGAATTGCTTGAATTGCAGGGTGATAGAGTTTTAAAAGAAAGATTTGCCACAATGAGTCTCACAAAATTTTGGGCAGAACTATCTGGGAAGTCTATTCTCATCAATGAAGCTGAAAAGCTCTGCTACCATTTCCAAGTAAATTTCTGTGTGAAGCAGGAATTTCGTGCCTTGCTGTTTTAAAAACCAAATATAGAAATAGACTGGATCCTCAGCGTGGCATGCGGTGTGCACTTTCAATAAATTTAACTCCGCGTATAAATCGCCTTTGTTTGAAAGTACAGCATCACGGTAGTCACTAATATTCACTAATAGTCACAAATATAATTAGCGATGATCACCCTCAGGATATAAGTTAGTTTTTTCATGTTTTACTCTGTTGATTTTTTTTTGTCAACAGGGTAATACACACAACGTACATATAGCCTGAGAGTTATCACCACTTTTTTACATATGTTATTCGTTTCACTTATTTAAATTTTTGTTTGTTCTTTTGTTTTATGTTTTTGTTTAGCTAAGCAAGTCATAGACAATTTTAAAAAAACGTACCTAAGATTTTCCACAAAATATTTTTATAAAACTTACTTGAATACTTTAATAAATGGTACTTTTTCCTGTACTAACAAAGTTTTATTTTATTATTTAATATTTGTTAACTTCTATTTGCATTAATAAAAAATAGATATGGGCGGCAAAAAGCTCACTGCGATTGCAAATGTAACCGGGACCAATGGCTTAACGTACCTAACGGAATAAATATTAAGGACTTCGGTCACCGATCCAGTGACCAGCCTCTGCGTACGTTGCCTAGCAAACGTAATCGCAAACTGAGCGCGCCACTAAGCTACTCAACGTAATGACATCAATTTGAGCAAACTACTGACTTTTATTCCTATTATTTTATTATCACTGGAAAATAAATAAAATGTCAGGGTCGCAGACTTCAAATTTAAATTAAGATTTATCAATTTAATGAGTTGGTATCAAGGAGTTTATATATTAGAATATTAAGTTAAAAACAATGAGATTTTGTGTATTTTCGGACTTTTTATAAATAAACATTGACGACTTGGGTCCTCGTGAAAAGAAACGATTTTGCATTTTTTCTTGTTTTATTACCTCAAAATATATATTGATGTTATTGTCTCTACGTGTAAAGGCCACTAACGTGATATTGGTGGAATTGTGAAAACGTAAATATGCCATACATTAAAAGAAGATTAACTGAAGCATGCAAAATCATAAACAAACGTTGCATTACTAAACAAGTCTTAGTAAGGCAATACTAACATTAGAGGTTAGGTGAAACGACAAATATGCGTAAGCTATTCTTAATATCAAGTGATTTTTAACAATGCCTTGTTAAAATGGGCATTAGTCGACTACTACACGTAAACTTGTAAAGGTTCGTTGTTTACTACGGGACCCTAAAATTATAATATCAAAGAATTTAAAATACATATCAATATATAGGTAGCATTATGAATGCAAAATTTAACAAATATAATAATAAACTTGTCTTGATTTTCGTTTAAAAACAAAATACTATCGCCGTTGAGTATCAATTTTATGTTAATTACGTCATATAAATATAAGGTCAGTTCTGCAACGTCGTTGCACATGTACCGGTTCTTATTTAATGTTCTAATAATTGACATCTTTTTGCAAAAGAAATAGATATCTATTTTACGATTTTTTACTATAAGTAAAAAATCTGTAATAACAATTTATAAGTAAACTAGTTGAGGAGCTCGCTCGAGCTAGCGCCGTGGCTAGCGCACTCTGTCTGCGACACGGTTGTTAAGCAACTTTCGCAATGACCGGTCGTAGGATGGGTGACCAAAAATGTATCATCCCGAACTCCTCCGTGTTTCGGAAGGCACGTTGAGCCGTCGGTGCCGTTTGCATCTGCTGTCGAAACCCACCAATACGCACTGGCCCCGTGTGTTTGCTCATGGCCCATTCTCCCTATTCGATTCGATTCGATTTCATTGATAGGGAAGGCCTGAGGTCCAGCACTGGGGACATTAATACGCTGGTGATGATGGTGTAGTCAACTCGTAGCAGATATATTTACATAGTAAAAAACATAGTTTAAACTGTATACTCTCTCGTTCGCTTTCTTCACGCAGATGGATCATAAGATTTTCTAATGCCTGTTAAGCCTAGCCTAGCCATTATTAATCACAGAAAAAGATGCAGTTATAAAAAGTCTTTTATATATATATAAAGATTTATTATAATAATCGTAAAATGGATCCAAAAACCTCTTAGTCATCTTGCGATTTTTTTCTATCGCGCCAATTATTGAAATTTATTTTTTTGTTTAAAAAGTGATAAGTGGTTATTTCCTACAATCTCGCCTTAAGGTGAGGTGAACGAATTGAATTTTTGAAAATCTTTCTCAGCATAATTCTATGTCCTAATTACTATGTATTTATCGTTTATTACTGTGACAAATTTCAACTCGATCCATTCAGTACTTTGAGCTGAGCATTCATAAATTCTATAGTTCATCTTTGCCTTTTATACTCAGATTTATAATCAGTGCAATAATTTTGTGGTAGATTAATCATTTTCACGTTCTTTCTCTTTTTAAATCTTGTTTAACCTACTAACATCGGGACAGCAGAAAAAGATGTTTTTAAGCAAGTCACTACCATACTATTTACATATGTTGCTACTTATGATATCTCTATTGTAAATAAAAATAAAAATAAAAAGTAATTCTTATTTCATGAATCATGAATCGTGACCGATTTAATTCAACATAACCATTTCTTAATACTACATATTAAAATAAATACATAAATGAGAAAATATTTAAATATGTCGTAAAAGAAAAGACCTTCGTAAATATTGTGTATTTTATAAACGGAACTAAATTATTTAAAAAAATATTACTTTTTGCGAACTAAACCTATAGAATATTTTTAAACTGAATAATCTATTAAAATATATAACTTACACATTTTACTAAGTACCTCGACGACCAAGCCTTACTCGTATTTTTGGTTTAAGTAAATAAATCCTAGCTAGATTGATTTATCAACCCCGAAATCTTGTGCATACTATACTAGCTTTCCGCCAACGACTTCACCGGCGCGGTCCTGTACTATACCTATTAACCTTCCTCTTGAATCACTCTGTTATGCAAAAACTACTGGCCATATATAATATTTATAAGCCTGTAAGCCTCCTGTTAACCCACACGGTTCCTTAGGGAACACTCAGACGAAGCCCTGGCTAGTTTAAAGTAATTATACATATGACATACCTTCGGCATCTCCTATTAGCGTATGAGCAATTCCAATAATGGGCATCTCTTTTGTCGGTGGTGGTATCTTTGAAGCCAATTTGTAAACCTGCCGCCTTCTATAACGGAACGCGATTACCCAAAGGGTAAAAGCAATGCAGCACAGGGATAAAATCATCTTGAATTGTAAATAATCGAATACTCTTAAACTGGCACAAAACACTGAGCGAAATAATTAAAAAGTCTTTAAATAAGTCTCTATGTGTTTCAAAAAGTTTTTTTGTCGCAACAATATCAAAATATTTTTTGTCGCAACAATATCAACCTTGACAATGTTTAAGCGACTGTGGTCAACGTGCGTATCAGCCTAATAATTAATCTCCTCCGTTATATATTGTCCTCGAGGCAACGAGCAGAATAGAAAATAGTCTGTTATAAAATTAGCGTCGAGCGCAACGCTGTCACAGCGTAGGTAATTAGCGCAGGTAATTTGAATGAACATATTATTTAACAATTTCATTCAAATGAAACCTATTTCAAAAGGTTATAAAAGTTTAATGTATCGAATCTCTATAGCTTTTTAACGTTGGTTTAATTCTCTATCACCCGGTTTCTAATGTGAAAATCTAAAGTTAGTCATGTCTCAAACTGTACTTAAACAAGTCTTCGTTTATGATTTTAGTGTTTTAATGATCAGTACATTAACAATAACATTAACACAGCTGAGAAACTTATTTTCTGCATTTATTGTTTCATATATAAAACTTAGTGTCCATTAGGTATATTATTATTGCATTCACTTTTAATAAAAATTAATTGATAACGAAATCACTTATTGTTTATGATTCAGATTAATAAATGAACTAAGATTATATTATGTTACATCTCTTTGACTCTAGTGTATGGACAAGACACTGCTGTAGATGTTAATATTGTAGAAATAAATGTAGGTTAAATTGTAAATAAAAAGTAATTGTATGGAAGAGGGTACACATTATATTAAATTATTTAAGATTATTGATGAGGTATTATCATCGTTATAATTGGTGATTGGTTATTAAAGTGATACCTTTTCTTATAATCTTATTGAACATAAATAATTAGGATATTTTATTATTCATCTACCCACCTATTGAATATTATTATATTTAAAATCAATATTTCATCATTACTGATTAATTAATGCTTAAATAGGATAAAATAATAAATTTTGAAACTTATTAACTTTCCATTGATTCTGTTTTATTTATATTTTTTTAGGAAATTTGATTCAATATGTTGACCCGTAAGGCTGTTACACAAAATACAGAAATGCAGTTACGGCAAGCACTTCAGGAGCTAAAGGATTCAAAGGACACATGCAACCAGTTACTACAGGAACGAGATGAAAGTGAAGAAGAAATCAAACATATTAGTGGCCGGAACTCACAACTGAAGAGTGAGCTTGGCGAACTGCATACTGAGCATATAGAAGTAATGCATCAAAGGGACCAGCTTAAGGATGCACTCAGTACTCTCAAAGAAGAATTAAATACTCATGAGAGGGTACTCAACCACATGACAGAACTGGAACAGGAGCTCAACTTGGCCAATAATAAAATAGAAGTACTGTTCGAACAACAAAATGAACATGAAGCAGAATACAACCAAAGTCTTTTTGAAGAACTGGTAAAATCACCTGTAGGTCAGTCGATGAGGCATCAACTAACAGCCTGTGATATACACTCTAAGACTCAGATTAATTTTAATTTAAGTACTAGGAAATATAAGAAATATATTAAAATTGGAAAAGTTATCCAGAAAACTTAAAAATTGATAAAGAAGAATAATTGTTTTTATAAAAATATTGCCTTGAGGAAACAACGCAGTAGTCTAATGGATTCTTTGGAAATATATAGCGATAAATTATGTGAAAGTCGGCAGATGTATGACCAGGAAACAAAAAATTTGCAATCTCAAAAATAAAAATGAATCAATAGAATTAATACAAAATAAATATTTAGTTGCACAGTCTCAGATTGATGAGCATATTAGGTCTGCCATAGAGATGGTTGACTTATGCAATTACAATGCTGACCATTCAATGTTAAATAATAAACAATTAATTAACGAAACAAATAACAGCTTAAGTAACAAAAACAATAACAATAATAATATTCAGAAACAATTTATAAATACAGTTAAACAGAAACCCTGTCAGTCATCTGCCCACCAGTCACAACTGTTTACTCAGATACCTGTTCAGTCATCTGTCACTGATGACTGCTCTCCATCACATTTTTCCCAACGTTCCGTTTCGTTCCTTTCCGTACCTTCAACGTGAAAAAATCACCTATTTGTATTTTCTATCGATCTCCACTGAACCCCAATTTGAGACTTGATATTGAGCGCCCAAGGAGACGATAAATTGATACGTAGTAGAAGAATGTCCCATTATTCAATCTGTTCTTTTAGGGCATTTATTGAAAAGCCAAGTATCTTTATTGTAAAGATCACTGTTACCGGTCCGTTATTATAAGGGAGAAGAAAAAATGCAGTTTTATGAGACATCATATGAAACGGATTGAGATTGCATCGAGCACCTTACGCGCAGTTCGAAATTAGGGTCTTGACAGTCAAAATATATGTAAATAGTTCTGTCGGAGGTCCGGTAAGGAATGAATACTACGAGGGCGGGATGATAAATAGCAAGCCTAGCATAGAAAAACTTGAATCAGTGTGTTAAAAGTATATTTATTTTTCGACATAGTCTCCTTGAAGCGCTATGCACTTCATCCATCTATGCTCTAAAGCCTTGATGCCATCCCTGAAATGGTTTTCTTCAAACCCTTCAAAATAACTGTCCACAGCAGACATCACCTCACTATTATTTTCAAATCTTTGACAACCTAAAAAATTTTTGAGCTAAGGGAATAGATGAAAGTCAGATGGTGCCGGATCAGGAGAATAAGCTGGGTGTGGTAGCAAATCATAATTTAATTCTTTGAATTTCGCCATCGCAATGATGCACGTGTGAACGCGCGCATTATTCTGATGAAAGATTTTTTTTTTTTCGCCATTTATGTTTTGTCCTTTTGGAAGGTAATCAATCATCAATATACCCTTCGAATCCCAAAATACTGACGCCATGACTTTTCCCGCTGATTTCACGGCTTTTGCTTTCTTTAGAGCCGGGATCCTTTTACTGTCCCTTGTTTAAATTGAATTTTTGATTCAGGTATATAGTGGTGTACCCAAGTCTCGCCTGTAGTAACAAACCGTCGCAGAAAATCAGTTGTATTGCTTTGAAAGCGGTCCAAACATTCTTGTGGAATTTGCATACGAACGCGTTTTTGGTCAACTGTAAGCAATCGCGGCACCCACCTTGCGGATAATTTTTTCATACATAATTATTGAGTCAAAATGTAATGTGCCCATTCTTTAGAGATGCCTACAGTATCAGCTATCTCGGAAAGTCTCAATCTTCGGTCAGCTAAAACTGCATCATGAATTTTGATTACAATTTCTGGAGTAGTGGCACTTTTTGGACGTCCTAGACGATGTTGAAAATGATGATGTTGAATTTGAAAATGAAAAATCTTTATTCAAGTAGGCTATTTCAAGCCAATTCAAGTAGTACAAGCACTTTGGAATCGTCCAAAAATATTTTTTCCCCTACCACTTGTTCAGGACGTCTTTTAGCTGACAAGAAGAACAAGCGAAAGAAACTTACCAGCTTTTTATCATAAGTAATAACATTTACATAAATCATGTCATTACCAAAATAATATGTATTATCACAATTATAAGGACAACTTTCAAAGTCTGCAGGACATAGGTTGAACATAGAATTAATCTTTATAGAACATAGCGAAGGCTATTAATTCCATGCATTGCGATCCTTAAAATAATCATCAACTTTATAATAGCCTTTACTCATAAGTATATTCTTTACATGAATTTGAAATTTATTTATGGGTAGGTCAATTACATTTTGTGGAACTTTATTGAACATAGCAATACATTTACCCAGAAATGATCCTCTGGTTTTTTAAAGTCTGAAGCTTGGAACGGCAAGTTTATTTTTATTTCTTGTGTTAAGATTATGAACACTACTTTTTTTGTGATGGAATCGTAATGTTTTCTTGTGTACATAATATTCTCATAGATGTATTGAGAGGCAACAGTCAGAATATTTATTTCTTTAAATATTTCTCTGAGAGATTTCCTAGACCGTAAATTATATATAGCACGGACAGCTCTCTTTTGTAGAATAAAAATATCCTGAATGCTAGCCGCAGAACCCCACAACAATATACCATACGTCATTACACAATGAAAATAACTAAAATATACCAATCTTGCCGTTTCAACATTTGTCAAGAGTCTAATTTTCTTAACAGCAAAAGCTGCAAAACTCAGTCTACTTGACAAACTATCAATGTGAGGATCCCATTGCAGTCGGGAATCTAGTGTAATACCAAGGAACTTTGTCGATTCTACTAACGCAACTTTTTCACTATTCACATTTATAAGTACATGACATGCCTCACATTAGGTAATGCTAACTTTATGCATTTCGTTTTATTTGAATTGAGCTTTAAATTATTATTATCAAACCACTGTAGAACATTGCCGAGAGCATTATTTACATCGTCAAAATAATCATTACCCCTCTCAACTTTAAACAGTAAAGAGGTGTCCTCTGCAAAAAATACTGTCTCGCACAAATTCTTCGTAAAGTGAGGAAGATCATTAATATAAATTAGAAAAAGCAATGGTCCTAATACCGATCCCTGAGGTATTCCCATAGTAACTGGTGCCCCTGGAGATTTCGCTTCATTAATTACTACTTTTTGAATTCTAGCAGAAAGATATGATTTTATTAGATTAAGTGAATTTTTCGTCACACCATAATGCTCTAATTTCCCCAACAGTATTTCATGACTAACGCAGTCGAACGCTTTTGATAGATCGCAAAAAATGCCAATAGCATCTTGTTTATTCTCCCAAGCATCATAGATATGCCTCAGAAGTGCAATTACAGCGTCTGTGGTACATTTACCTCTGCTAAAGCCAAACTGATTTTGGTGAAGTAATTTATTTAATGAAAAGTGTACAAGCAGTTGATTGTAAATAATTTTCTCAAATACTTTACTTGACGCTGGTAATATAGAAATTGGTCTGAAATTACTGGGATCAGACTTGTCGCCTGCCTTGAAAAGTGGGGTTATTTTACCATATTTCTTACTCAAACAGCTTTATCTCGATTAGTTAGTATTTTAATATCTCAAACAACCTTGATCAGCTAGCATTTTTCTATCCAACAATATACCTACTCAACGTCCACGTAACTCATCTTGTTGGTGTACAGTCAACAACACGTCGGGTATTGATAAAGTAAGCATTTTTCGATAAACTGACGTACACCCATGCGTAGGTTTGGATACTGATTAGATTTTAAGATTGTAATGTTGTTCACGACTAACTGTGCTCTAATATGTAAATAGCTTTTGATACCAGGTTTATTATACTCTTTGATCTTATATAACTATACTTTTTGGAATACTATATTTGTACATATTGAAATAGATTATAAAATAAAAATAATTAAATGTCAGTGTTCAAAAGACAAGCGGTCGTATCATTTACATAGTTTTGGTGTCAGTAATAAAAAAGGAAAAATGCCTCTAACAAGATCAAAAAAGCTCGCCACATCAGCGGCAGTACAACAGCCCACTGAGAAGCAAGTGCAAATTTTTTCGGAGGATGGAGCCCCTACTAATTCTGCCTTTGAGGAGGCGGGTCCGTCCACTAAGCGCCGAGAATCTTCACCAAGCACAAGTTCAGGTACTAATTCCAAAAGTAGTTACACTGCCCGTTCGCAAAACAGCACACTAAGAGCACAAATTTTAGCAACCAAGGCAGAACATGCACGCCGTCTTGCTGAAGCCGAAACGGAACGCGAACGTGCGTTAGCGGAACGCGAACGAGAACGAGAGCGTGCTGTTGCGGATTTGGAGCTTCAGGCACAATTAGCTGCCATAGAAGCTGCTTCGTCGCAAAGAACAAGCGGATCTCGCGGATCGCGCGGTTCCAATTCTCAGCGCGTCAACAATTGGTTAGCTAATTCTATCAATAATGCTCATCATAGTAAAGTTCATTCGTTGGTTGACAGGGAGGAGAAAATAGAACCATTGTTCTCATATATAAGATCGCAGCCATCGCCGCGATCGGCGCCACCCGCCACAGCGGTTGTAGACGCCCCTACAAAACTCCCGATCCCTGCTCGCTTGCACCCGACATTAGTTGCGCCAGCTGAACCAACTCCACAACATACACTCGCTACAGGCACACTTAATAAAAAAAGTGATTGTTGTTATAACAAAAATAAAGAAATCGGTAGTAATGTAGGTACACAATTTGATCAGCTGGCCAACGCTATTACTAACCTAGGAAAGAAGACTACAAAGGTATGTGATATTACTAAATTTGATGGACGTGTCTCGGACTGGCTTCTTTTTAAAAATTCTTATGATCAGTCCAAGACGCACTTCCCTCCCAGCGAAAACATTGCAAGGCTCGCATCAGCGCTAAGTGGGTCTGCGAGAGAGGCTGTAGCAGGTCGTTTAATGGTCGCTGACGACCCAGATCAAATCATTGCGGCATTGGAGAATCGATTCGCGCAGCCAGAGGTCATCGTTCTTCATCAGCTTTCCCTAGTAAGAACTCTACCTAAGTTGAACCTATATGAAAATACTCGCGATCTCAATATATTTGCCTGTCGTATTAGAAATTGCATCGAAGTTATCCGGTTACTTAAACTACCC